ACATATTGAATAGTATAAAAACTGTAGGTATACAATTGTTTCAAACAATTATCAATATCTATAAATGAGTGACTCTAGCATAAATTAAAATATTCAATATTTTTAAGTGATTTATTAACTAAAATATGAATTAAACATTGTTTATTGAGCTCATAATGAAGTTTAATTGGTAACTATTAACATCTAATTAAGAAAAGGATAATTACCTAAAAGTTTTGACAAAATTTGCTGCATTGTCAGTGACWATTAATGTTGTTTTATTCTGAATTTTAAATTCATCGAGTACTTTGTCTATTGATTCGGCAATATTATYGTAAGTGTGTCTTCCTATCATTCGTCTGCAAGCCAGTCCTTTAGAACATCTTTCAAGCGTTTCAGGATTAATCCAATGGATAGTAAATCMTATGTATGATCTAAAATAATAAAAGATTAAAACTTAATATTATATGAAATAGAAAAACTTAACTGAACCAAAATGTCYAAAATATTTACTTGTGGAATAWGCTCCAGCAGTCTGCTGTAATACATACATATTTAACTGTATCTAATTCGCTGATCATTTCGTSTATCATTTTATTATACAAATATTCAACATCACGCATTAAACTTCTACGTGATGCAGGAACCTTATTTGACGTAACTTTACAATAATTTACGCTGGATGCTTGATAAATGAAAAGGGTGACACCGTATCAATTATAAGTCTTAAATTAGCCTTATCAAATTCAGCTTGATTCAACTTTTTGATTGGGTAAACTTTACCAACATCGCTTAATTTAAGTTGCTTATGAGACGTTGTTGTAGAATTTGTTGGTCTTTTTTTTCATACAATTGTTGAATTCTGCCAAATCATTTGGATGCATAATCTGAAAAAAAGTATAAATAAAATATTTAATATTTTGCATGAGAGTATACTAAAACTTGTTTATTTTTAATAATAAACAACAACAATCAATAAAAATTATTTAAAAATATTAGCATTAAAATATAATAACTATTATTTCATAAAAATATAACAAATAGTTTTAGAACCATAGGTTCTAAAACTTAAGCTAAAACAAATTATATGATTAATAGTTATAAACAAAGGCAATTAGTTTTATTATAGTTTACACYTATATATTTAAGAAATCAGTCATCACCGTCAACTTAAAATATAAACCACACTTATAAATTATAAATACAGATAGGTACATATTTTGATATGTGTTCGAAGATTTGAATTTGAGAAAGTCGAAATGTGTTTTTCTTTTGGACCACATAAAATGCACTTAAAAATCAAATTATTTTTGTTTGCATTTAAACCGCTTGATTTAAGTTTTTCAAAATAAGAAATCATTGTTGGCCATTTTGGTTGATCATTATTGGAGCTATTCACTTTTTGGTGTTCTGGTGCACTAAAAACTGAGAAAAATATTTATTTTTTTTTAAATTAGAAAATAATGTAGTTACAATAAATAGAAATATATTGAAAATAAATAAAAATATTGAAAATTTCAAATTTGTATATTATACTAACAATTAATTGGTTTAAAAAAGTGTTTCGTATTTTTAATAACCATAATATAATCTATATAGTATATTCTATAGGTACATGTTTATTACTATATACAATACAGTATAATATGAATACATATAACAATAATATATAAAAAATATATAATATATATAATATATATTATAATATATAATTTGGATTAAATAAAAATATTACTTACTTGGATAATTATTATTATTCATGTTTATGTCCAGTCCAAGTTACAATACGTAGGTACAAAATACGCAATAAATAATTAAACTAATAGTGAAAACACTGAAAACGTATTAGTTATTACTTATTAGTTTATTACTGACTAACTGCAGCAGTGTAAGCGACTGATCAAACTTGAAACTAGTGAGGAACTGAGGAATGAAAACTATGAACTAAGAATGTATAAATGTATATTACACCACTATAATAGGTARGTAGGTATTTTTGTAGTACAATTATTATAACATATTAAATGTTAAATATAAATTTATATAATAAACAAATAAATAGAAATAGTCACAATTCATGATAATCGACAATCGTACAAATTATAAAATATTGAATAATAAGAAATAACTATAATGAGACCTAATAAGCCATTAAGCCCGCAATTATTACGCTATTAAACGTGACTTCGTGGGCTCGTATAGCTATTGATRAATCTTATATAACGGTCATAGGGGCTACAATGGTCTAAATGTCACATTGTGTATTATACTATTATTATTTATTATTTTGTTTTTCATTAAATCTTTTTTTTCTAATAATATTTTATAATATTCTACGAATTAAATTAATTAAAACGACAAAAATTCAAAATTAACTTAATTGGGAATTTTAAAAATAATACAAGTTGATTTTAAGTTAACGGATATCCTAATGAGTTAAGTTAAAGTTAAGTTAATTAAAACAGCGAACTAGTAAGTTAAGTTAATAAGTTAAAATTAACTTGACTTTTAACTTATTAACTCGTTAATGCCCAGCCTTGTGTATAAGTATATAGCCATAAACATACTATTTAATACTTAAGAGTTACCATTAAGATCAAAAGCTACCTACGTTATTCATTAAATTATTGTACATAGTACTTACTTTTTCATTATTTAAATCAGATTTGGCTGTTTAGCATAAAAGTTGGTTCATCATTATTAGTTCATCTCTTGTTTTCACCCCACAAGTTTGCATTTGATTATATGCTTCAACAATTGTATTCCATGCATTGGTTTGTATATCAGAACAAGCAAGTGGATCCTACATAAATACAAATATATATATATAATTTGATAAATGAATTAAATGTAGAAACAATTAATTACAATGTATTACATACAACAGATAATTTGTTGTCTGAAATAAGATCTAACATCAATTCTATTTCTCGGTCAGTTTGTACTGTGGCCTGATGCATGTAAGAGTTAACATGTTTTAAAAAATATATCATTCACTATAATCTACAACAAAATATTTGAGACATGTTTGAGCACTATTAAAAATAACATAAATTTGATAAGTACATTAAACCAAATACAATAAAATAATATTCTTWGTTAAAAATATAACCTACCTACTGAGAAAATAATTTAAGGATAAATAGTTCAATATTATGTGTATTTCTAAATAATTTACTTTTTTCAATGCTTTTGTCCTTTTTAGTTTTACGTTTCATCACATCAAACATAGCTTTTAACTGAATGCTAGTTCTTTGTCCAGAAGTTCGTAATGCGTTATAACTCACTGTTATGTCTTCCCAAACACATAACTTCATTTTATTTGTAGCGCCATCAGTCTAATTCAAAACAAGTGAAGATAATGTTTACATTAAAAGTTTCAGTTTAATAAAATACCTATTATTCTAAATTGTAATACACACCTTAATATTTTCAATTACATTTAACCGTGGTTGGATTAACTGCAACAATCTATCTTTCTCTGCCTCAGTAACATTTTTACTTCTACGTTTAGGCATCATATTTTAGTAGGTATTATAAATTATAAAACTAAATTTCAACTGTAATACAAATACTTATGCACTTATAAAGACCTTGTAGTCGATTCACAATTGTTGATGTAATATTGTAAATTGTAATCAGTAATCACTATTCGCTATTTCGAGTTTCGACATTTCAAAAAACAATGATAACAAATAACGACCGATTTATCATTAATTGAATATACCATACTACCATGACCCTGGTAAGTTGTCAATTAATAATATATTTGTTCAACGTTTATGCAACAGTGATGTACTTTATGGAACCGATAAAGATGTTTATATGATGGTTTATCGACCCGATCGATGCCTTATCGTGCAGTTTTTATAGATCGTTTATGCAACCCGGCATTAGTAATTCAAAGTGTTATCAAATATTTATAACTGATACTATCATGTACAGAAAAAAATAACGGTTCTTTTCAAATAAGTGGGAAAAATATTACCTTAGCAAGGAGCAAGAATTTTTTTTCGTAGGTGGGAAATATAGATCCCATGCACTATAAAGTGATACACGATACACTTGACATTTGAAATTTTTGAATTCAAATAGTGGCCAAGTGGCGGGCTAAAATATTAGATTTTCAATAAGTGATAACACAAGTTGAGATAACAGGCACCTTTGTGAGACAAAAGATGTCTGCTCTCTCGGAACGCGGCACATACTGGCCCGTATTACGAATAGTAGTTTAACCTCTTATCGGTGTTTAAACCTGGGTCAAATGGAAAAGACCGTATTACAATCAATTATCAATGGTTTAAACCACTGATGGCTGAACCACCGATTTCGGTGGTTTAAACTTGGTTCGGAGATGGATCTGTGATTTCATTTGCTGTTCATTAATGTTGATAATGAACTTTGTTATAATGATAAACCACATAATTTTTGATACACCATGATTACTGTTCATTTGCAAATTGCAATTGCCAATTTGCATTTTATGACTTTAAACATTAAAGACTGTAACAGTTTTGTGCCTTTGTTTTTCAAGTCAGTTGTAAATTATGGAAACTTCTGTGGAGAATAAACGCACGCCAAATTTTACCAAACAAGAGGAAAGATGCGTTGCTGCATCTTGTACAACAGTACATACATATTTTAGAATGTAAAACGACTGACAGTATTCAAAATAGGTACCTAAAAACAAATTATTATTTATTATAATTTATAATACTATAATATTTCTTGGTTGTGTTATTTTAATAGAAAAAAAAACGGACACGTGGGCTACTGTTGAAAATGAATACAATAAAAATCTTGAAGGAATAGTATTCCGAACTGCAACAGTTCTGAAAAATAAATATTTGAATTTAAAAAAAAAATTGCAAAAGAAAATTGGAGACTAAAGGTCAGGAATCAGAGGTACTGGAGGTGGTCCCTACAATAAAGTTGAATATAATGATAGCTAAAATTTAGTTTTTGAAATATTAGGCGAAAAAAGACTTGGACGTCAATACTCAAAATATGATGATAATAATGGTAAATAATATACTTTATAAACTTAAATTGGTATCCTACAATGTACATGATACATTTCAGAACACGCTGCTTTATATTTTAATTTTAGAACAATGCATTAGTAGAGCCCAGACACCTTTGGATCAAATGAAGATTACTTTACCAGGTGGCAAAATTGTATCAATGGAGGAGGTTGTCACTGAAGAAGTTTTAGATGATGCAGAGACTTCAAATATTTAGTCTCTCCAAGTTGATATATTTCAAGGTAAATATAGTAGTTTGTATTAATTACAATTAAATGTATAAGTTATACTTATTTATTTATTTTTTTTTTTTACTGTAGACACTGTATTG